TTGGGGATTAGGGTCTTGATTTGGCTATAATTAGAAGCCAAATTTGGCTATAAGTTAAATAGACATTTTCCCTATTTAAATTATAAAAATAGTAAATAGTTTTCTGAAAACTAATTTAAAGGGCTAAAATGATTTATAATATATAATTAACAATTTAAAAATACAGGATCTAATTATATGCGTATAAAACATAATTAAATTTAAAAGGGCTAGTATTGCAATTGTGTGCAATTTAGCTTTAAAAATACTAAATAAAATATGTAAAAATTACTTTAGCCATATTTTGGCATAAATATAGAAATTAAATAGAAGAATTATCAAAAATAATAATCTTGGAAATAATGATTGGGAATTTTATGGATAAAAAGGGAGCAAATAAATCAATTTAAATCTTTAAAATTATGAAAAAAATAATAAAAACCTTGGATATGCTTATGTATGCATATATATGTTATTTTGAAGGTATTTTAAATATTAAAAATATAGGGAAAATTGGGTATCAACAGTGGGGAATAGATTTTATGGGATCATTCCCTTTGTCCAGATGAAATAAATACATCTTGCTAGCAGTTGACTATGTGTCAAAACGGGTAGATGCCATCGCATTGCCAACAAATGATGCCATGGTGGTAGCTGCATTTGTGAAAAAGAACATATTCTCGAGGTTTAGGACTCCACGTGCCTTGATTAGTGATGAAGGGACACATTTTTGCAATTGGTTGTTGAATAACCTTCTTTTTAAATGCGAAGTCCGCCATATAGTTGCTACAACATATCATCCTCAAATAACTGGACAAGCTGAGGTGTCTAACAGAGAAATAAAGCAAATCGAGAATACGATGAGTGTGAATAGGAAGGATTGGGCTGCAAAGTTAGATGATGCCTTGTGGGCATATAAAACTGCATACAAAACGCCAATTGAGGCGTCGCCGTATAAGCTTGTTTATGGGAAGGCATGTCACTTGCCTGTTGAAATTGAACATAAAGCATATTGGGCCATTAAAATTTGAATATGGACCTTGAAGCCGTGGGTAAGAAGAGACTCTTGCAGTTGAATGAGTTAGATGAGTTCAGGTTGTACTCTTATGAAAATGCTAAGCTTTACAAAGAGAAAACAAAAGGATGGCACGACAAACGTATCAAGCCAAGTCACTTTGAGCCGGACCAACAGGTATTATTATTCAATTCTAGGCTCAAGTTGTTTCCTAGAAAGTTAAAATCGAGATGGTCAGGCCCGTTTGAGGTGGTGAGAGTCACTCTTATAGTGCAATTAAGCTGCGTGCTTTAAATGGTGATAGGAAATTATTAGTGAATGGGCACAGAGTCAAGCACTATTGGGGAGGAATAATTAATCGTGAGAAGACCAAAGTTGTACTCGCTGATGAGTAAGCGAGGCTATGTGTCGTGCCATGACGTTAAATCAAGCGCTTGTTGGGAGGTAACCCAGCTTTACTATTTTCTTTTATTTTTATTTTTATTATAATATTTTTGTAGTTTTTGTTTTTATTTTGTAGGATTATAAACTTAGGAAGCAAAGCCATAGGAACGGTGCAAAAATCAAGCTAGATGGTTGAGACTAAGTGTGAGATGCCCACACAAAGGATCATACCTGGGAAAAGTCTGAGTATCCCGTGAACTGCTAATACTTTGACCTTTAGCCTACCAGAGAGTCTCTTTTACCTTCTTATTATTTATTATATGCATTGAGGACATTGTAAAATTTTAAGTATGGGGTGAGGAGATTATCTGGGTGATTTTTTGTGCTATCTTAGCTTAGTTGTAGTACTCGTTCTTAGAGTAGTAGTTTTTTGCTATAAAAAAATCAGAAAATTGGGACTTTTCCCGACGATGGATCTCCTAAGAAGTTTTCTTGAGGGATTTAAGTCGAAATAAAAAGGACACAAAGATTTTCTTTGTAGGTAGTGTAGCAATTACCCCTTGGTTTTTCTTTGTGTCGTGGTTCTTTCCCAAGAGTTTTGTTTGAACCGAATATAGTTAGTTTTTTTTTAGGAGTAGGAGCCATTGTGCTGTGATTGGAATTGAAGCAATATCTCTTGACTTTGTTATGCTTTGAGAATAGTGAGTACTTTGGTTGTGACGCTTAGACTCAGTTTTTTACTCTTGTATAATCTTAACTTTGCTTAATTGCTTTGACTAGAGTGTCTTGATGAGTCCAATCCTGAGTGAGTTTTGTGCCATGTGTGTGTGAAGTTTGTATGTTAGTCTGTGCATTGCATTTGATGTCTAGAACTTGCCCCGTCTGTTTGCAAAGAGAATTAGTAGTTTCGGTCAGTCTAGGAAGTGATATAGGCATTTCTTTGTTGAGCCAGTTATATACTTTTATCCACCTAATTGTTATGTATCATAGTTAACCCCTTTGAGCCTGTAATCATATTTCTTTGGCAACCACATTACAAGTCTTACCTATTTGTTTGAATTAACCATTTATTTGAACATTTTCACTTCTCATGAGCACTTGAAATTGTTATGAACTTTGTAAAAGTTAAAGTGTAGGGTGGTTGATTTGGCTTTTGAGTGAAACTAATGAAATAAGGAGAAAGGTGCACTATTTTGAAAAAGTAAGAGCCACATGAATTGAAAAAGAAAAGAAAGAAAAATAATTATATTGTTGTGAAAAATATTCCTTGAAAGTGGTAACTCTTGATGTAATTATGCTTAAAGAAGTAGGGAGTTGATGTATATTAATGTGAATGTATGGTTTGACATAAGTGTGGGGTTTTAAATGTTAAAGTGATTAGGGAGGTATAGTCACTCTTATATCAAATGTATCCTACCCGTCCCGCAGCGTACATTTCAACCAATTAAAGTCCTACTTGATCTTAGACTGAATGAGCTCGATTAGTAGAGCAGTACACTACGGGCAAACCTATGGTGCATCTTTTGTGGGATATGAATGTTATTTCTGAGAGTGAGAGAGTTCTTTCTATCTTGAGTTCCTAATTGTTCTTAAATTTTTTTGAGTGTGGAACTACTCTCTTTTGTTATGTGAGGGAACTTAATTCATAAAGGAAAGGTAATGCTTGACCTCTACGTTAGAGTAAGTGAGCGGGTTGTGAAAATGCATGGTGCTTGTGAGTCAAATCTTGAGGTGATAATGTTAAACTATTGTGCTTAGTCTATTTTAAATATTCTTGGTGTAATGAGTTAGAATGATTGTTTAAAAAGGTTGTGTCTATATAAAGTGTAGTTTGATTGCTCGAGGACGAGCAATGGTTTAAGTGTGGGGTGTTAATGGTATGCTATAATTACGTATTTTAGTCACTTATCACACTCTAATTTACTGCATTTTTATTTTGTTCGAGCTTTAATCGCTAGTATTTTGCACTTATTGTGTGTTTTATGCCTTGTAGGAGTGATTCTGAGTTATGTAGATGTTGTGAGAAGAATTCGAGCTGTTTGGAGCTTTGAAGTCTGAGTAAAAGCCCAAGGGATTAAGCCGGGATCGTGTTCGGGGGTCGAGTATCAATTCTGGACATCAAAATTCAAGGAAGAAGCAACTACTGAAGAAATGCACTAGTGCGAGGCACTGTGCAATGCATTATAGTGCAAAGATTTGTCAGAAATTTTCAAATTTCAGAGATTGGGTTTTTTGTGGTTTGACAGGAAAAAAAAAAAGCATTAGTGTAACGCACTGGGGGACGCATGGAAAGCATTAAGTTTACAAGTTTTTCTATTTCGGTTAGGAAAGTGAGATTTCGTCTTGGCCCAACCCTACTTGGTATAAATACATGTAAAAACGTTATTTTGAGGACTTTGGACACACTTTAGACCTAGAGACACACGAGGAACATCCGGGAGCGAGGATATCTAAGATTTCTTCATCTTTTCTTAGTATTTTCAATTATCCAACACTTATAAATTTGTTTGATACTATCATGAGTGACTAAAACCCATAGTTCTGGGATTGTGATTTAGCCGTGAATATTGTTGTTTAACGTGGATTTAACCTTGATTATACTTCATCATTATATGGTTATTTCTTCATATATGTGATTAATTGCTTAATTGTCTGGCCAGCAGTTAGGTTCTATTTACTATCTATGATATACTTGGGAAAATCATGTTTAGATTAGAGAAGAATTGAAGAGACCACGATCTTAAATCTGAAGGGGGGGGGGGTGCTCATTTATGGTTAGGATAGGAATATACCTAGTCACCGTGCTTAATTAAATATTGTAATCTTAATACATTCTTAATAGATTGATTTCATAGGAATATAGACGTTAATCTTTTTTGAATAGGCGAGTAGTATTTCGGGAGAAGGCTATGAGAGCAATTGTTCGATTAATTAGCAACCATGAGTGAATTGTACGAAAGGGAGAGTTAACTAGAACATAATAGGATTGGTGAATCGATCACAACCCTGAAATATTGTCTCTACTGAATACACAACAACCGTTTTGCCGCTTGATAATTTAGTTACTACTTAGTATAGTATAATTAAACTCTTGAACTCGAATTGGCTCGACCGAATAATAATCTTGGTGAATTTAGTGGGTAGTTGATACAAGTCTCTGTGGGTACGACACTTGACTTATCATTTTATTATTGTATGACCACGTATACTTGCGTGTGTGTTTGGGAGCAACAAAAAATTTGATGTTCTTTATCTTCTTTATTTTCGGGTTTGCCTCTTTCTGAACATAACAGTATGTATTGCTACTATATAATTCTCCTATGAATAAGCGTAGCGGAGCATTTTGTGATGCTAGTAGCCTAAAATATATATATAGGTTAGTTGTACTTGTAATGGTTTATAAAAACCCAAATGTACATCGTCATGATTTTGTTTCTATGAATATAAGCGTGAAGCATTTCGTAATGCCAGCAGCCTGATAAGCACTGTGTGCCCAAAAACAAGGTAGAGATTACCGGATTTGCTTTTCATGAGAAAGGACGAGAGAATTAGAAAGAGTCAGAAAAGCCTGATGATGGGGCTTTTGGGTACACCGGAATTGAGATGGCTAAAAATTAGAAAAGCTTAAATTCAAGCATGGTCCAAGCTGAGAATTGAAAAACGCCAACTTTTAAAAGTTCAAAAAAGGAGCCAATGACCCCACTCTGCTTCACTTTACTCCAAAACTCCACTAACAGCTGCTAATGCTAGTGCTACTATTAACTTCAACAAAAATAATGTAGCTTTACCATGTTCACATTATTGATTATTTCCAGAATCCCAAGTATATTAAAATCATCCACCTCCATTGAGCAAATACTCGTTCAATTCTCACTCTCTCAGATATGCTAGTGCTACTATTCCTAGTAGCATTCACACTCTGTTCTACGACGTCGTTCGCCCATTCCCACTATAACTGGTCTCCATCTTCCACCACCACAGAGTGGCGACCAGCACGGGCCACCTACTACGCCGCCGCGGACCCACGTGACGTTGTGGGCGGCGCCTGCGGGTACGGGGATTTGGAGAGAAACGGCTACGGTAAATCCACAGCTGGTCTTAGCACTGTGCTGTTTGACAGGGGTCAGATCTGCGGTGCGTGCTTTCAAGTCAGGTGTGTGGAGGACCTGCGGTGGTGCATTCCCGGTACATCAATTATTGTGACGGCGACGAATTTTTGTGCTCCCAATTATGGGTTTGAACCAGATGGTGGGGGCCATTGTAACCCTCCTAATGCACATTTTGTGTTGCCCATTGAAGCCTTTGAGAAAATTGCTATTTGGAAAGCTTCCAATATGCCCATTCAATATCGCAGGTACGTGCAGCTAGAGTAATTTTCGCTCTCCATTTTTTTTTTTTGCATGCACCCCTGGACTAATGCGCCAGTGACTAAGGTTATTGAATAAGAAGATTGTCAAGTTTAGAGTGTTAATTATTTCCCTTCAAAAAAGTCCACGGGATCATAGGAAGGTTGCAGAGTATAAGTGTGTAACTGATAATTCTAGAGGGGTGTTTTTATACCTTTTCCCCAAGATCTACGGTAAACTTCGCAAACATTGATTATAATGACTGCGCTGATACCAAATATTAGACATTCTACACGATCCAAAGCATGTCTAGAATGTACAAGTAGCATGAAATATTTCTGCAGTTTTATGTATTTGTGGCCAAAGCTGTACTGCATTTCAATATAGAAGTATGATCCTATTTACTGAAGGATATGCATTATATGTCTCTGTGAGTTAGTTTGAATATCCATTTATATTTATATAACACTGCCTGTGGAAAAATCTATCAGTAAAATCTTCCTAGTTCCTTGTAGGAAAGAACTTAAAGTTCAGAAGCAGCGACGGGTCATACCGATAGTATTGGCACGTATTCTCGCATTCTGTTTGTAGTAGGTTTTTATGACTAACTATTGTTTTCTTTTATGGTTGGTCATCTTACAATCTTGTTGTTTTTATTCTGCTTTTATATGGCTTTTTGGTGTTGTCTCTTCTTGTCTATATTTTCACTAATGTGGTGCTTATGATTTCCTAAGCTGAGGGTCTATTGGAAACAACCTCTCTATCCTCACAAGGTAGGGGTAAGGTCTGCGTACACACTACCCTCCCTAGACCCCACGGTATGGGATAATGTTGGGTATGTTGTTGTTGTTATTGCAGTGACGAGCATTAGAAAAAGTACAGCAGCATAGAAAAGCTACATTTTAGCTTCTTGCTATTGTCTTACCTTAGCAGTTGTTGTGTGAGGCTGTGAGCAAATTATACAAAGATGAAATATTCATGCATGGTCATGATCATGACTTCTAAGGGCTGGATTTGAGCGACTGTACTCTTGGAGATATTGGGGAAGATTTGGATGAAATTTGTAGTCCAATAATTGCCAGGGAGAAGAAGCAATTTGAGAATCCGTTGCGAATGATTTTTATGGTATGTCAGGATAATCCAACAGACCCTTTAAGAGGTAGAAACCAAATTAGATATCGGAAAAGTGGAATGTTGGATGGGAATTGGGAAGAGTAAACTGTTTATAGATTACCTGCATATCATCATTAGCTAGTACTACGTTGACAAGGATAGGTAACTAGTTGAATCAGCCGTTTCCTTTCTACAAGAAACAGCTTTATTGCGCTGTTGTATATGTGTGTTTTGGAGGAAAGCTTGAGGGTATCAATCGGCAGATTACTCTATGATGTCTAGTGACTTGGCCCATACTACGAACACTTCCTTCAGCACCATTATAAATTGGCTTACTTTTATAAATTGTAGCTTCTAAAGTCAGAGTACATATGGTCATGGATTGTGATAACGCAGATTTGGAGAAATATATGTTACATGTATGCACGTACAGGAATCCGATATGAGTCCAAATTTAGAAGTCAGATTCTTCATCACCTAAATCTTTGGATTTGGGAATATGGATAAGAGTACGGGCATGAATGAGATACAACTAATATATATATGCTACGCATTCACAAAAAATTGGCCTAAATTAAGTTATGCATTGAATTAAGAAGTCATTGAATCGGAACAGAAAGTTAGTAACTTGATCTATGTAACTTAACTCCGATCGATTTCTCTTGTAGAGATGTGCTAACTGCTTTGTAAAAACCCAAAAATCGAAACAGAAATACCAGCCAACTTATCCTTCTCCGCGATAGTTGTAGTCAATGCATCCGTGTTAATTGGCCTAATCTGGTGCGTTTCCCACACGCACCCCCAAGTCATGTAGGGTAGGGTTGGCTTCATCGGGTATTATGAAGAGCTTCCATAATGTCTGGAGCATTCTCGTGTTGAAAGAGTACTATCACATTGAAATGTCAATTTGATTCCGCCCCTAATGAGGTGGAAACTTGTAACCTCTCAGGATATCTGGAAAGCATTCAAGCTGTATGATCTTTCTTTTGACATTTTGGCTCTAAAATTACATAAAAGGTCTTCAGGAATGTTTGATCGGGAAAGCTAACTTGATACGTTTAGATTCATAAGTGACTAAGTATTAACATTATGTAGAATTTCAGCAATGCATATGCCATCTGCATTATATGTTTGTGGCAAGAATTTTATGATGAGAATTCCTGCATTTGCATTCTTTAGCAACTAACATAATCTAGTACATTTCTACAACCTTATACCCTAAAAAGGAAAAGTAAAAAAGGGAAACCCCCATGCATAAGAGGACTCATTCATGTTAAAAAATATTACTGTGATAAAACTCATCTAATCATCAATACAAGTTGGTATACATTTCGAACCCCAAAAGTAGAAAAATAAATAAATATTTAAAAAACTGGATTAGGGGGTTCCCCACCTGTTGAGAGGCACTGGTTTCTATCTCTCCTTATAGTCCACATTAGCGCATTTAAATGGACTGCAAATGCCCTATCCTCAACAACTCTTACCTCTATCTTCCAGCTCCACAACAGGTCATTTGTAGTCTTAGCATTACACAGCTCATAAAAGAATTGAGCAGCATAGAGAGCAGCTATGTCGCTATCTCACAATGCACCAGCCAACAATCGACCTGCTAACCTGCCTTTTCACATATAAGGTACCAGCTGATGTGAATCTTCTTTTTTGTTCAAGTTGTCTGCTGCTAAATAAAATACCAGCGCCCACAGATAATCAACCTGTTCACCTGCCACTTCGCATATAAGGTACCAAGTGTTAAGAATCTTCCTTCTCTTCAAGTTGTCTGCTGCTAGAATAAAACACCAGGCCCCCCAACTTTTTCTGGATGTCATAGGAAGGCACCAACATGAGCAATTCTTCTGTTCCCCTTCTAATTTTACACCGTATGAAAAGATCTAACACTGAATTTACCACTTGTATGAGCTATCCACCTTCAAGAGTCTCTTCTCTCCATGTAATATTTGGTGTCCATCCACTTCTTGTCTCGTGACAGTTCTTCCTTAGATTTAAATCCCAACAAGACACCATATACAGTCAAACATCTCTATAACACCCTTGTTTGTTCCGAATATTTTTGGATGTTATAGCGAAGTGTTGTTATATAGAACATATATTATAACATAACATGAAATCGGTCCCAGAAAAGCTTGGTTTTTATAGTGAAGTGTTGTTATATAGAGATGCTGTTATAGAGAGGTATGACTGTATGTGCCAGTTTTTGTTTATTTTCCTTGTTTTTGGGAAGTGCTATTTTGTGGTAATACTTTAGTTCTTTCTGTTTTGAACAGTCAGTTTATGGATATATGACGGTTTTCTTCATAATTTCCAACAGAATAAAGTGCAGAAAGGAAGGAGGAGTTCGGTTCACTCTCGATGGTGCTGGAATATTCTTGTCAGTTCTAATCAGTAATGTTGCAGGTGCAGGTGATATAGTGGCAGCAAAAATTAAGGGTTCCAGAACAGGATGGCTTTCTATGGGTAGGAATTGGGGCCAAAACTGGCACATCAATGCTGATCTGAAGAATCAGCCACTTTCTTTTGAGATTACTAGTAGTGATGGAGTCACATTGACATCTTACAATGTTGCTCCCAAGAACTGGAATTTTGGTCAGACCTTTCAAGGCAAGCAGTTTGAAACATAAACGTCCACTAGAATTATATCTGTTGCTGAGCTTAGGATTGGTTGAAGTTGGGTGGCAATGTCAAGGCACTTTTGTGCTTGTTCATGTTGGGCAAGCGACTGCCATATTAATATCAAGAGTGCAAAGCTGTGCACGGCGGATGTGGTGTAATAGATATGGTTCATCCGAACCCAATAGCTTTAGCTCTGACCTTGTACATGCATTAAAAGATTCACTCTATTAATGCATATAATAGATTTCAAACCCAGTTACTCAAATGGACTATTGTAAAGTTCGAACTCGAGCCCATAAAGTTCAAATCCTAGTTTTGCCTGTCAAGTTGTGTGATGTCAAGTTGTGTGATTACTGTTGTATGTTATTTATAGAATCTGAGATCTATCCTCATAAACTCAGATTCATACACATGCAATTGAAGAATTAACAAATTGGACAATATCATAGAGAGAAAAAGTAGAGAGAAGGAGGAGAAGAACTAATCTTTGTATTAACTATCTTTTGGAAGAAATAATGTTAACCAATATAACCACTTCACATTGGTTAGTGGAGAAGGTATGTGAAATGACAAAATTATCCCTCTCTTAATACACCAAACTATACACTAAACTACCCCTCACTCAATACTCCCCCTCAAGTTGGTGGGTGAAAGACATCAAACACACCAAGCTTGGATAAGAGAAGTTGATGTTGAGCAGCAGGTAAGCCTTTGGTCAGTAGGTCGGCAAGCTGTTGAGCAGAAGAAATATGGTGAGGAAGAATGAGCCCAGACTTGATTTTTTCATGCACAAAATGACAATCAAGCTTAATGTGCTTAGTGCGTTCGTGGAAAATGGGATTGCTAGCAATTTGGATAGCTGCCTTTTTATCACGGAACAAGGACACATGTTGGGATATAGTGAGTCCCAACTCCTGTAATAGACCAACAACCCTAGTGACTTCAGCTACTGCTGTTGTCATGCTCTTATATTCAGCTTTTGCGGAGTTCCTGCTTACAGTATGGTGCTTTTTAGACTTCCAAGAAATGAGTGCCTCACCTAACTTGACAACATATCCAGTGACTGACCTCCTTGTGTTAGGGCAGGAAGCCCAATCTGAGTCACAATAGGCAATCAAATTAGTAATAGGACCAGTAAGTAATAACACACGCAAGCCTGGACAACTTTTGAGATATTTAATCACTCTAAAGGCTACCTCCAAGTGTGATTGTTTAGGTTGCTGCATGAACTGGCTTAAGCTCTGAACTGCAAAGCTAATATCTGGTCCAGTGATGGTAAGGTAAAGGAGCTTTCCAATTAACTGTTGATATGTTGTGGCATCTTCAAACTCTAAATCATCAGTATTTCCTACATGAGCATCATAATCAACAGTGGTCAAGTTTTGATTAAGTTCCAAAGGTGTTTTAGCAGGTTTAAATCCACTCAAGCCAACTTGAGAAATAAGCTCCAAGGCATACTTTCTTTGGTTAAGTAATGTTCCCTTTTTGGATCTCAGCACTTCAACACCAAGAAAGTATCTCAACTCCCCAAGGCCCTTTACCTTAAATCGATTGTGTAGGGTCATTTTTGCATCTTCTATCAGTGTTTGATGACTACCAGTAATTAGCAAATCATCCACATAGATGAGAATGACTACTAGACCATCTCCTTGTTTTTTGGTAAATAAAGAATGATCAAATGCAATTTGATTATGTCCACTCTCTATCAAAGCTTCAGTAAGCTTAATATTCCATTGTCTAAAGGCTTGTTTGAGTCCATATAAAGATTTCAGATGTCTACATACTTTGGTCTCCCCATGTTTGATAAACCCTTGGGGTAAACTCATGTAGACTTCTTCATATAAATCTCCTTGTAGAAAGGCATTATTAATATCCATTTGGTATAAGGCCAACCTTTAGAAGTGGCTATACTGATAACAAGTCTCACTATGACCATTTTGGCAACAGATGAAAAAGTATCATGATAATCAAGTCCTTCTTTTTGATTGTATCCTTTTGCAACCAAACGAGTCTTGAATCTTTCTACCTCTCTATTTGCTTTGTACTTGACTTTGTACACCTATTTAGATCAAATGGCTTGCTTCCCTATAGGTAAATCAACCAGTTCCCAAGTCTTATTATCTTCAAGTGCTTGTATCTCCTGATGCATGGCTTCAACCCATCTGTCATCCTGAACTGCCTCCTTAAAGGAGTTAGGTTCAATGCAAGCTGAAAAAGCCTTCAAATAGAACTGCTATCTTGTTGTTAGATTCCCATACTATAGCCCTTTGGACAATGGATAAAGGCACTGGGTGGCAGTATTCTTTGTTGTCACATAATCCTTCAGCCAAATGGGAGCTTTGGATATTCTTCCTCCTTTTCTAACATTATGAGCTATTTTATGAACTGATGGTTGTTGAGTGGAAGTTTCTGATGGTTGTGGTGGAATTGTTGTGTCATTTAAACTGTCTTGTGAAGTGTCTGCAACTGGTGTCAATGTTTCTCTTGAGATTGCATCAGGTGATATAGCAATATGATTCTCATGAGCTTCTGGCAAAATTTCAGTATGTGTCCCTTGCTCCTGAGCATCATCATCATCAAGTTGACTTGCTGATTCAACATGTGTCACTTGCTCCTGGGCATCATCATCACCAAGTTGACTTGCTGATTCTTGTTCAATACTAGGCTGAGTTGATTGCGCTACCAGCTCTAACTGTTTGAGAAATAAATCACCAGAATCCAGTGCAGCATTCTTGAATGAAAACACATCTTCCCTAAAGCTCATATCCCTGCTGACCAGAAAGACTTTCCTTTTTAGATCATAAAGCTTGTAGCCCTTTTGGGTTGTTGAGTATCCCACCAATATACTTCTGTTTACTCTTGGACTAAATTTATCTCCTTTTGGGAGGTTGCTAGCATAACAGAGATAATCAAATAGCTTAAGGTGATTTATGTCAGGTGGCTTATTGTATAAAAGCACATGAGGTGACTTTCCTTTTAAAACAGAAGTAGGCCATTTGTTAAGCAGATACACAACAGTCTTTATACACTCTCCCCGAAACTTGTTAGGAATTGAACTTTAGAACTTCATAGCTCTAGCTACTTCCATAATGTGTCTATGATTTCTCTCTACTACCCTATTCTGTTGAGGTGTGTAAGGACAACTACTCTGGTGAACAATTCATAATGAAGAAAACAGTTCATTGCAGCTAGAATTGAAGAATTCAGTGCCATTATCATATCTCAATGTTTTGACAGTCACACCAAATTGATTTTTAACCATTGAAAAGAAGCTCTTCTATACAACTATTACTTCAATCTTTGATTGCAACAAACATATCCAAATGAATCTACTGTAATCATCTACCACTGTAACAAAGTAGTGTTTCCTACCATATGTAGGTATTCTATGAGGTCCACATACATCTATATGAATAAGTTGGAAAATACTAATAGCATTATTACTACTAGATGGAAATTTTAGCCTGCTCTGCTTAGCCAAGGAGCATATATCACAATTATGATGCACTCTACTATCCACTGAATTTCTCAACTATTGGATATGCTGCATTGCCTTTATTGAAGGATGTCCTAGTCTCATGTGCCATAGGGCTGAGTTATTTGTACTATTGCTGCTGTAGGTATTGATCTCATCTGCAAAAGGTACAGTCCACATAACCTTACCAATTCCCATCACCTTTCCATTGTAAAGACCTTGCAGCACACAGAAGTCAGGGAAGAACATTGCAATACAACTCATTTCCTTCGTCAGTTTTGAAACATACAATAAGTTGAACTTAAAGTCAGGAACATGTAAAACATCCTTCAAAACTTCATTGTCCAATATAGAGACACTTCCTATATGGGTTACTTTGCACTTATTCCCTGTTGGCACTTGCACTCCACTATTATTGTGTGAACTACAATCCTTAATATCATGCATGATCTCCTTATGAAAGGTAATATGATATGAAGCACCTGAGTCTAATATCCAGTCACAATCAAAGGCATTTGATAACAATGCATTTATACCTGCCATAAGCAAGGGACAGTCACCTGTGTCTTGTTTATTCAGAAGGTTTAGTGGTTGCTTGTATTGATCCTCCGTGAAGAAGTTCTCATGTGTGTGCTAAGTGTTTGATGTATTCCTTGTCTCAGCAGCAACAACATTAGCATAAGGTTTGACTCCTTGTATCTGTGCTTTCTTCTTACTCTTGAAATTCGGAGGATACCCTATGGTTTTATAACAGTTCTACTTCAAGTGACCTTTGTAGCCGCAAAATTCACAAATCAACCCTGGTTCCTTTGCTTTGAATCCCTGATTGAATGTCTTATTTTCCAGCTAGCATGGTCAAAACCTCACTATTAGATTCTCATGTTCCGAGGGTTCTTTGGCTCTCTTCTTGTATAACCAAGCATATGCCTGATTGACTGCCAATACAGGTGTTTTGAGTAACATCTGGCTCCTCACATGGATATAGCTTTCATTTAGGCCAACTAAAAACTGTAAAAGTCTCAGATTTTAGAATTGTTCAATGAAAGGCCTTGTTTCCTCACAATCACACCAAGGTCCTGTCACTAACAAGTCCATTTCATCCCAAAGATCCTTCATTTTGGAGTAGTAAACAGTGATTGAATCTGCGCCTTGAGTCAATGATCCTATCATCTTCCACAGCCGATAAGTTTGAGTTAAAATTTGTCAAATCGTTCCTTAAACTCGCTCCAAACCTTTGTCGCATTTGATTCATAAATGATGCTAGGTTGCAATTTCACCGCTACTGTTTTTCCTATCCACAACAGCACCACTGCATTGCATCTTTTCCATTGATTTGCTAATTCATCTTTGAATGAGTCTTTTACACAAGTTCCTTCTATGAACCCTAATTTGTTCTTCACCAACAGTGTTCTTCGCATAACTCGACTTCACATACCATAATTTTCTGGACCTGTGAATTTTATGTCGATCAATGCCACACCAGGTGTGTCTGATTCTCTCAAGTACAAAGGATGATTGTGATCTATTCGAGGAATTTCAATTTCTGGTTCTTCCATGGCCGCTCAGCTTCAGCAATAGCTTTCTATTGAAACACTGAAAATTTTGGTCCTAAATCTCAATCGATCGCTCTGATACCATGATAGAATCTGAGATCTTTCTCACAAACTCAAACTCATACACATGCAATTGAAGAATTAACAAATTGGACAATATCGTAGAGAGAAAAAGTAGAGAGACGGAGGAGAAGAACTAATCTCTGTATTAACTATCTTTTGGAAGATACAATGTTAACTAATATTACCTTCACGGCTCACTCAATAGTTATTATCTGAATTGTCATTAGAGAAGGTAATGCCACTTGAAAGAAATAGAACTCTGATTTTGCAAAAATTGGATGAAATCTGAAAGGGTTACACGAAAGCAAACACTTTATAGTCCTACTAAATACAAATATTAGACTTTCCTATTTACCTCGTTTGTTTTAGTTTCAGTGTAAACATTATCTTACTTACCTTCTTAGTAGCTATAGAGAAATTAATAAAAAATAATCAAATTTAATCGTGTAACTACACAAAAATCTTGCATCAGATAAGCAAGTAACTACTCCATATTGAAGTACAGCTGGAAGATCAATCAAATAAGAAGCACGTATGTATTATTATGCAAAGAAAGTAAACTAATAAAACATATATGAACAGACTAAAATCTCGTTGCCAAATGACAACGAATTTTACTAATTTACTTGGCTAATAATTTAGTACTATTTAGTATTTACTATAGGTAACTGTATATAAAACACCTGAAGACTGTCATATAGGCAAACGACAGAATCACAAATTAAATTAATGGGTTCAATCTATACTTTTTAAATTATAAGTTCAAATTTTAAAATTTGTTGATTTTTGTGTTTTTTACACACATAGGTGAAAGCTCCACCGCCACTACACATACGTTAGATAAAAGTGTTGTGTTAAACTCTATCAAAATTATTGTCGGACTGATTGCAAATACTAGATAAAAATAGTATGGGCTAGCCAGTTTTCGGACTGATCATTCAAAAATAGTCAGTATTTGCAAAGTCATTGAAAAATAGCAACTATTTTGCTGCAACACGGAAAGTTCCAGCATAATATACTGGAGATCGGTGTACCTGTGTATGAACTTCCAACATATTATGCTGGAGCTCCAACACACAAAAAGTTCCAGTATAATATACTGGAGATTAGAGCACCGGTATATTATCTCTAGTATATTATGCTGGACCAGTATATTATATTGGAGTATTTTTTCGGATTTTGAACAGTTTCGTTCAGATTTATCTTTACATTAAAAGTGGCTAAATTTCGATTACTTTTGAAACGGTGACTATTTTTGAATGACCACTTATAAATCTGACTATTTTTTAATTTCTCTCACCTCAAAGAAAGTATTAATAATACAATAATAACAATAACAATTACTGCCCTTCAGCCCAAAACCAATTGGAATCGGCTATATGGAAGTATCAAAAAATATTTGAAGAATTACAACAAGGTACAAATCAATGTTACCTAATTGCTGTAACATGAAGCAATGAAAGGTCTTATGAAATTAAAGAGGTACAAACTTAATTTCTTAGAAAATATCTATTGCATCAGGAAGAAAAAGTGAAAGGAGAAAAGGGAACAACAAAAATCAACTACACTTACGAGGACTGCAATGTGTACCACTAGACTATAAAATCTACAAAACTTCTTAAGAACAAATTGTTTTAAAATTATTGAATTTAACTTTATTTAAAATAGTGTAAAAGTTTATTTTACTATCATGTCATTTAAAAAATAATTATATACTATTATCACTAATAAGTAGCATTAGGAATCCAAAAATATAAGAAAAATAAGTTAGCTTCAATATCATGTT